AAAGGAGATATTTTGCAAGACCTTCAGCCTGGTCTAAAAAACCTTCCATGGTCCCTCACGTTTTCACTGTCAGCCGTCAGATACATTCCCTTACTGACCCAAGGGGAAGCTGGGTTGTCTGATGCTACTTTATTTGTCCATTATTTATTTAGGGAGATTCCGATACAGAGTGCGACATTTTAACCATTTAAGTTAATAAAAAAAGCAATTAGCCCCACTGCTGTTTAATTATGATACCCCCAAATCAGAGGTATCACACTTAAACATGAGAAAAATTGACAAACTTTAAAAAAATCATTAAGAATTACACCACAGGACAACACAAAGAACATCAAATTAAATCAGTGAGGGGCATGTCTCTCCTCCAATCAGCACTGAATCTCCAGTACAAGGCGGTGCTGTCAGTGAGGGGCATGTCTCTCCTCCAATCAGCACTGAATCTCCAGTACAAGGCGGTGCTGTCAGTGAGGGGCGTGTCTCTCCTCCAATCAGCACTGAATCTCCAGAACAGGGCTGAGAGCACGTCTCTCCTCCAATCAGCACTGAATCTCCAGTACAAGGCGGTGCTGTCACTGAGGGGCGTGTCTCTCCTCCAATCAGCACTGAATCTCCAGTAGAGGGCTGTGCTGTCTGTGAGGGGCATGTCTCTCCTCCAATCAGCACTGAATCTCCAGTACAAGGCGGTGCTGTCAGTGAGGGGCATGGCTCTCCTCCAATCAGCACTGAATCTGATCCTGTGGCGTGTTAAAGGGTTGTGGCTTCAAGGCAGGCAGGTCAGAAAAGTCTGCCTACACCTCCTCTTTCTCCACTGTGAATCGTCATGGGGTTCACAGCTGTGAGTGGAGATGTGAAAAACACACGATTGCCTTTTGCAAATTGGTTCCAACAGGTTTTGAAAAGTTAAGCAGCACTGTCACTGTACCTTCAGGAGTGGACTGGTCTCCACACTGGTCTGCATTCCTGCGGTGCTGCCCACCAGTTTACGCTCTGCGCTTACCTACAGGATGGGGACACACACCCATTAATAATCCAGTGACTTAAAAAAAACATTTAAAAATAAACATAACATCCCATAAAGGACATCAGCCCTTATATTATACACCAGCCCTACAGGAATCCACACAGCCATCCAGAACCTGTAAACTTACATACTTCCCCACAACCGCCCTGAGCCCCTGTAATTACACAAAAACCCCTAATTTATACACAGAACCTCTAACTGCCCTTGCCCATAACCCGGTGTTCCTTTATTTAGGGTTTGCTATGGCATTAAGGGATGCTCTTTCCGCTCGAGATATCTGCCAGAAAGACACAGGTGGATTTTAAGCGTATTCTCCTCATTCCCCCCTGGCTTGTCACTACCTTCCTTAAATGCCGATAGCAGAAGAAAAAGGATCCCCTACCACCAGGATGAGGACGCGCAGCTCCGGCCAGTGAGACTCGGCCTCCACCTGCTCCGCCACACTGTCCTTCCCATCTTCCCTCTCTCCCATCAGCCACTGCACGAAGCCGCCGTACACGCTGCGGCAGGCGCTGCCGGAGCCCAGCCGCGCCACCTCCGACAGCTCGGCCTCCAGCCCGTACAGCCGGGCCAGCGCGTACACTGCCGGGGGCCACACACGCAGAGAGTGAGGAAGAGTGGGCCGCGGCACCTCATCTCCCACCACCCTCCTCACTCTGATCAAATTCACACTTCAAACTGGACGTTCAGCAAATCCCAAGTCCAGATATTTCTCTTTTCACCTGTGGGTGGCTCGGCTCAGGGGAGGGTAAAACGACCCCCGGCTGACAGACTCCCTAACATTCAGCAGCAGGAAATACATCTTAATCAAGAGACACTCAGGGTCTCCATTTCCTTCTTACCACAGCCAAGAGCAAAAAAGGTTCAATTTAACTAAACGGCAAACCACAACTGTGGAGCAAGACACTTTCTATGCCACTGCAAGGAGGGCTTTTCCAATTAATCGTCTCTCTGCGATTTCATCGGCCCCGGAGAGCCTGGAGCTGGCCCCCCCGTGTGCTTTGGCGCCGCCCTGGTGGCTGTTCGGAACGCGGCGCCCTCACTCACCCAGGCAGGCGTAGCCGGCGGCGGAGGAGGCCAGCCCGGCCGCGGTGGGGAAGTTGTTGACAGAGCAGATGTGCACTTTGTGCGCCAGCCCTGAGCTTTCCGCACCCCCATCCCCACTGCTGCGTCTCTTCCTGGCAAGGCGCCGAACTGCGCGACAACAGGAGAATCACCGTCAGGGCGCAGACAGCCGCTCTCGGAGCGTTTCACAGCTTCTCTCCACAACACCCCCGAGCGCCAGGGGAGCCCATGTTCAGTCCCACACTGAGCCGTCTCTCAAGTCAAGCAATGCCAGAACCCAGCCGGTCCTCCACCACTCCCTGCAGGCTCCCAGGGGCTGCGAGCAGCGTTACGGGAAGGCAGCTGCAGCCG